TTCTCTGACCGAAAAAGGCTCAAATTCATGTCGTCAAATATCCCATGAAAAGTTGCTATAGACAGCGGTCATTCATTATTACAATATGGCTTGTAGAGCTCATATAACTGAGACTTAGATTTCCACTTACAGTATATTCAGATAAGAGATAGACCGGATGTAAACAAAAGGTTCGGGTGATTTTCACGCTAACGCCGCCGTCTCGACGTAAAACAGGAGCCCTCATTGGTCAATTCGCAATTAAATGCCTATGCCGAGCGGCAGAGCAGTCGTATCAAGGCAGAGTCACATTCAGGTTCAAACGTGTTACGTATGTCGTGTGCATCATTGCAATTTGATATTTCTTTGGACGTTTTCGTTTGTTATCTTATTAAGTTGTTGAGTTTGTCGTTGTTATTGTTATACCTTGTTATTGATTGTTATTGTTATCAACTGCTTGCACAAAATGCCCAGTAGTACAGATACTGCCGATGAAGTTGTAAACTCCTGTAGTCCACCTAGGAAACGCTCTAAAAAAAGACACCTGAGTGCAGAAATGAAAGAGGTCATTTTGAATATATATAAGATCGAGCGCGAGGAGAACGAAGCATCAACCATCAAAGAAATTGTTGTGAAGGTTTCTCACAAAGTTGGGGTGTGTCGCGCAACAGTGTTTATTGTGTTAAGACAATACAAAAAAAATCACACCTTTTCTGAGCCAATGACCAGTAAACATCGCAAAAGTATTGTTAAATCATTGGATGAAGCTGATAAGCATGCGATTAGGAGGAAAGTGCATGAATTCTTCTTTAGGAATGAAATACCTACTATAGATAAAGTACTGCGGGAGGTAAATGGAGATACAACGTTGCCAAATTTCAAACGATCAACTTTCCATGCGTTACTGAAGCATTTAAATTTCAAATGGAAAAAACGGGGTCGTAATAGTTTACTTCTGGATATAGAAGAAACTGTGCAATAGAGGAGGGATTATTTAACAAAAATTGGGAAATATAAAAATCAAAACAGGAAGATTTATTACCTTGATGAAACGTGGGTAAACGCAGGACACACTACAAGTAAAGTATGGGTTGATGATTCTGTAACTTCATCCAGGAGGGCCTTTCTAGATGGACTGTCCACCGGATTAAAAAATCCAGCAGGTAAATACGAGTAATAGACAACAATCGGATGTTTTTCAAACCTTGGGAACAAGGTTCTAAACATTAATTCCAGGGGGCAGATAAAACATATTACAAGTAACAAAACTTTTATAACTTTCGATAAAATGCGTGGATGTTTTATTGTAATTTTCATTTGTTAGAACTTTTTTAAGCCATGTCTTTATGTGTTTTCGATATTTCAATAATTTTTTAATATAATCTTAAAATATGTCGAATATTATAAACTTAAAAAAAGTTATTAAGTTTTATATTGTGTACCGTTCCTAATATTTCTAATCATTTTAATTCATACTTTAAGCTTTATAAAGTTATAATTTGTTAATATTAATATTTGCGCGTATTTCAGGTTCCTGATCATTCATTTTTTAAAGGTTTATAACTTTAAATTAAATTGTGAAGCGCTGAGTAATCATACGACATTCAATATTCTTTCTTTCAATATGACTAAATAATCCCAATTATAGCAATCTGATACTCATGTCTCAATGTTTTTTCACTGAATGTGATGAAAACATTTGAAAAAGGTTCGCTTATTGAAATAAATCTACACCAGTTAGTACTTCGATTTCCAGGTAAAGGGAAAAGGCTCATTATCTGCCATATTGGCAGTGAGGATGGATTTGCTGTTGACGGTCTGTGGTGCTGTGAGTCTAAGAAAACTGGAGATTAAAACGAGGAAATGAATGGCGAATCGTTTGAACAGTGGTTTTCAAAAATTTTACCGAACTTAGAGGAAAACGCAGTAATTGTGTTGGATAATGGATAATTCTCTAAGAATGAAGAAGGTCCCAACAACGGCTTCAAGGAAAGTTGATGTTCAAAATTGGCTCCGCTCGAAAAATATCAACTTTGAAGAAGCAATGCTGAAAGTACAATTATTAAGAATTGTCAAGGATCACAACGCGGAATATCAAAAATACGCCATTGACGAAATGTCAGCAAGTCAAAATAAAACTGTGCTCCGTTTACCTCCATACCATTGCGAGCTCAATCCCATTGAGCTCATATGGGCAGAGGTTAAAAATTATATAGCTAAGCACCATACAACTTTTAAATTTTGTGACCTCAAAGGACTTTTCAAAGAAGCACTAGAATTAATAACAGCGCAAAAATGGGAAAACTGTATTAAGCACGTGAAAGACAAAGTTGAAAAGAGAATGTGGGAACTGGACAATATTTTAGAGGAACAAGTCGAGCCATTCATTATTGACGTTGGTGCTTCAGGCAGTAGCGATGATGAAAGCTCATCAAGCTCATCTTTCCAATAAAAGATGTCGTTCATCAAATTTGGTAAGTTATAAGTAATTATAAAGCTACTGTATTTTTTAATTAAATATTGACATTTTTGAACCCATTTTGGCAAAACCTATTCAAGAATCTACTTTCTGACAATGTTCAACCATGCACATTTTTTACGTTTTGAACGTTTTAATTTGGTTACATATTTACCTAGAAATCAAAAAATATACTAGTCAATATTCTAAAAGCAATTTTAAGAGATATACGATTATTTTTAATTTAGGCTAATTTAAACGCCATTTTGAGATTATATTCGACTGTATTTCACCAAACATCAGGCGGCATCCGAAGCTGGAAATCGAAGCGAAAATTTTGAAACCCTTATGTATATTTACATCATTCTATATTTCTTACCTCACCCCCACATGATCCTATATCCATCACCAATCGTATACACATCGAATTGTGCTAATTTACTACAAAGTTACGCAAAGCAGCATCTACTATCTAAAATATGTACTGCGTGACTCTTAATACGTCCCTGCCGACGGTTACAGCGTTCGATGATCACGTGGTCTTGTTTATGTCCGGTCTATCTCTTATCTGAATATACTGTAGGTTCCAAATACTGTGTTTTGCTAGAGCTGCGACAATAATGACTTTCCATTTTTGGTAATATATCAAAGAATTCCTTTAAATGTCTTTTTCTTATTTCCCTTTCACCTCCAGGTTCCTCTAGTTCAGTAGCTTCTGTGAAAAGGTGCGTCAGCCAGTTATGTCCACTGTTTTATAGCTAAAGTAAAAACAGAGATTTGCAAACTCTCAGTTTAGAACATCTACCTTTCTTAAGAAAAACATGTACGTAGAAGTCCTTCTGCTAGCATCGTCTTCCTTTCGATTTCCTATTTGCTGTGTTGGTGTACATTCAGCTAGTTTGTTACAAATAGCTGTTTCTCCTTCCACGATAACTTCCAGAACTGATCAAAAATCAATTTTCTGTCAGTTTCAGTAAGTTGAGAGCACTGAAGTTTGGATCGATAATCAGTTAGACAGTTACACCTGCCTAACAAAGTCTTATCTAGTTTCTTAAGATATATTTCTAGACATCGTTAAGTTTTCTTTTCCCTAAGTAAGATAAACCACTTCCTCTTCTTTGTTTGTTTTGCTCTGGCTTCCAATCTTTAATGTCTGCTTGTCTCCTTTTACGTCGCTGTCGCTTAATATTTTCTAAAGATCTATTATTGCTTTCTGCGGCGTTTTCTTGCTCCAAGTTGTGAATTTCTCTTAATACATTTTCAGATGAATTGTACTCGTGTTCCTCATCATTTTTCGGTGTCTCCGCACGTTGTTCTTGATTTTCTTGTTGCTGATTATCGTCACCTTGATTTGGCCTATGTATCGCTACATTTTCTGGGGTTTGCACTATCATACGGTCTGAGATTGTGTTTGGTCGAAAGGGAAAACGGCATCAAACATGTTTTCTGGTACAACAGAACCACTTAGTCCAGGAATGTCTACAAAATCGATCTCTACATCAGCCACGTCGTAACAAACGCCTTGATTAGTAATAATAGATTGGTTCATACTACACAGGTCTTGTAAAATTTCAGTTATGCTTGTACGATCGGCAGAGGTGTACTTCTCATTTGTCACATTTACATTCTCAGTGCTACTACACGGCTCAGTATTGGAATCACCGCTAGCAAGGATTCTTAATGTTCTCGTTGACATCTTTTCTAGCTCTAAAGTGCAATTACAGGTTTTAGTCGTCTGGACGCATATTTTATATCTTAGAAAATCCTTCAACGTTGCATACTTAAGTTGTGGACAGAACCTATTACAAATTCTTACAACAGTATCTATGATGACCAAATCAAATAAGTCCAAACGATAAAATCACATGACTCCGTACTTTACGTTTACGAGACAATTAGTCGTTATCCAATATCTAATTTCATATGATCTTGACTCGAAATGATACTGTTAACTTACCCTATTGAATCAGAGTTTTACTCCACGCTAAACTTGCACAAATATCAAATACTAACGCCAACAATAACACTGCGTCCAGGCATACCAAAACACTGAACTTGTACGAACTTGTGTGATGTACCTATCGGTCAGAGCGAGGGCGAGTGTTATGTGAAATTCTTGACGCCGAATATGTCGCTTCCGCATTTTTTTTTTTGAGTTATGTGGAATTCTTGGGACACATAGTATCAACTAAACATGCCAATATCTCATTTTCTTCAAAAAGTGGACTTAGTGATTTGCATATTAAGCCGAAGAATTACTATTATAACGTCGACCTGCCTACAAATATATGAATCTCCCGGTGGCTGTACTGTTGAATACATTACATTATTAAGATAAAATAATGAACATATAATTAGTAATTACATATAGGTATTGTGCTTATTCATTTATTATTTATTTGTTTTATTGTTATAGGTGCAAAATGGCAGCAAGAAAATTTTCCGAAGATTACGTTAAGTTTGGATTTACCTTTATAGAAAAAGACGAGTTACAATTGCCTCAGGGTGTGATATGTATGAAAGTTTTAAGCAATGATAGCATGAGGCCCAATCGCCTTGAAAGGCATTCGAAGCAACAACATCCTATTCTGATTTTGGAGACTAAAGAGTTTTTTTCTTCTAAAGCAGAATCATTCAAGCGGATGAGACTGGATAAATCGGGAAGTTATCACACAGGTGTATAAACTATCGGTGAAGAATTAATAAAACCATGTGTCCTAAAAGCCACGCAGATAACTTTAGGAGAAGATGATCAAAAAATTAAGTCTATTCTCTTTCAAATAACACAGTCAAGCGTAGAATCGTTGACATTGCAGCAGACATAAAGTCACAAATAATTAACAAAGTAAAATTATCCCCATTTTTGCCATTAGTTGCGATTAATCCACCGACATCGTTAATTGTGCACAGTTAATAATATACATATATACGTATACATGTATGTTCGTTACATCGGCGGAGATATCATTCATGAAGAGATTTTGTACTCCCAATCTTTGACAGCAGCTACTACATCTGAAGATATATTTAATTCAATATCAAATTTTGTTGGAAAACATGATTTGGATTGGAAGAAACTCATTGGACTTTGCACAGATGCGCACCTGCAATGATAGGTGTACGATCGGGCTTAGCTAAAAAGCACAAGGAATCGCATTCATCCGTTACCTGTTTTGCTGAATTTTTGGTTTCTTTCACATTACTAATTGCTGGATCATCTGTAGAATCAGCAGGATCTTTCTTTTTCTTCTTATTCATTCTTCGCCCAATATTTTTAGGCTAATATCAGGTGAAAGTTGGGACTGGCGTCAGATCAGTGTCAAATTTCCTTTATCCCAGTACTGAAAAAGGTGGGTATCTTCAGTACGGGTCCTTCTACAGGAAGACAATTTATCCTAGGAAATAATTTCTGCACGTGGCGAAGAAATTTCATTTACAATTATACAAGTGGAAGACAAAAAACGTGAGACTCAAAATATAGTGAAGCAGTAATTAGATCTATATTAATATCGGTGTTACTTTTCGTATACGATTTTTATCTCCGACCTTTAGGTCCTTAATATGGCTTTGGAGCTCCTCTGGTGTGCAATACGGAACCACAGAGATCTAAATAGTAATATGACGAGCTTTCCGTAGAAGAATACTCTGAAAAGGGGTCACCAATATTGGCATTATTGTTTCTGTCGCTATTGGCTCTGAAATATCTAAATATCTCTGGACAGATCTTATAATTTGTCGTGCCTCATCAAAGTCATTATCCAGATCACAACTATTTTTCAACATTATTCTCAGTACTGAAATTTATGCCACTGACCATAAATATATGACAGTTGTTCTTGACTTCCAATTCTGAGCGACTTTACTACTTTCCAGAGGGAAAAACTTGAGTCGGACATTCCCGTCACAAAAAGCCCCACTGCTCATTATGGAATTCATAGAGTGCATTTCTCACTTCATGGACAAGATTGGTCTATCTACAAATGTTAACAGGGTGACAAGACTTTTATGCTTGTTCAATTGCAGTCCTATTGTCATAAAATTAACGGATGATAGCGGAAAAGAAAGGTCTGCTGTGTCGCTGCACTGAAAGCCCAGCAGCACGCTGTAGTTTAGTAAACGAAACTTATCCACTCCAATTGAGCAACATATATTCCATTCTCATCATCTAAGACCGGGATACTGGGAAACTCTCTGAGAAGTGACTTGTTTTCAGTCAATTTTTTTCTCATTTTCGTTTCTCATTTTTCTCCTCCATGACATGCTGATTACCCACTCGAAGTAATACTGAATCTGCAGCCTTGAGATATTGCGGTGCCTGAACGTGATTAAATAGATGGTGTAAAGGCTGTTTGGTGCTGTGGATGGAACACCTCTTTCCCTTCACATAGTTGTGAAACCACAAGTGGTGTTGAGCTTTGAGTGCCAGGATCGGTGTTTGCACCTGTAGTCCTCTGCCGCAATAAGAGGGCCTGAGCAGACCAGAAGGACTTCCTCTCGACATATGTATGCCTTCTGTCAGCCTTTCTTGACCAAAGTGTGAAATTCTCCAAAATACGGCGTACTCACTTAAAGCCCTCAGTCATTCACAATGCATCCTACCAAGGAATTGCAAGCACTTGCAAGTCGACCTAAATAGGAGACTTATTTGTTGCCGGGATCTGAACGCAGTTGCTAAGTTCGCGTTCTTTGAGAGAAGGTAGCCGAAGACGAAAGCTTAGCGTTCTATTTTGATGCCCAATCTTTTGAAGGAGTAATTAAGATTACGCCAGCGGAATAAGGTAATTGTTGATATGAAGCACCGTAAGCAAATGCAGCTGCCAAAGCTTGCGAAGAGCACGTGGTCACTGCATTGACTGGCATTGTGCACGTGACAAAAGAAGAAACTGAAAGATAAATCTTTTATCTCCAGCAAACTGAAGAAAAAATTTTACGAGGACTGTCGATTCTTATTTTGATTTAGGAAAGCGTGCAGAGTCATGCGTCTTGTTACTTTTGCCGGTTGTGACATTCCATCTTTTCCTAGATTTGGCTTTGATGAACCCGTCGTGCACTATTTCATGGTCGATCGACGTCAACTGGTCAATTAACCTCTCAAGAGGTCTTCTACAATTCACAATCGTGTCATTTTTAGAAAATAAATTTTGATTAACAAAATGAGTAGTCAGGCAACCGATTTTGGCTCTTAACTGTTTCAGTCAATTCCTTGATATGCTGCTTGGCTTTCAATGATCATGGTCAGGCGCTGGATGGCCTTTTGATCTGCTACATCTGGTGTGTCTCATTTATTTACAATACAATCTCAGTCCGCGCCTAGCTAAGCTTAAGCTGAAAATTGTACAATATGGGCATAATATTAAGGCTATTTGTGCATCTAGTAGGTGTGAAACAGCAAACATATTTTTTTCGTGGCACGTGTAGAATTTTTTAGTGAAATATTTTAATTATTGAAATATGGTGCAAAACAGGTAATAAAAATGTAAAGCCAAAGTTATTTTCTACTATTTTATAGTCAATTTTTTACTACAAGATATAACCTAAAGTGTGCATAAAATACACTCAAAGTTCAAAAATAGGATGCGCATTCATTAAGGCATGATAGGTAAAGGTGCGTAGGTATACATATGCGAGCCGAGCGGTTCGCGAGCCGCTTGTGAGCCGCTCGATGGTGGTTCGTTGAAATGATTTTTTCCGCGAACCTCCAGCGATCCACAGATTCAGCGCACCAAACGCAAACAAACATCGCAGTCGACAAATGCAGTATGGCTTCGCGAAACGAAAATTATACTATTTTAGTGATGAGTGCTGCAGTTTTATTAATGGCTGATGTAAATAAAAAAAAGAGAAGACAACGACGTTGGTGGCGTACTAATTTATTCAAGAAACGCAGTGGTACGGAAATTTTAATGGACCTAAAGTCGCAAGAAATAAGCGGACAGTATAAAAATTTCACTCGAATGACACCTACTGACTTTGAGAATCTGCTGCAAAGGATTGGACCCCATATTTCAAAACAGGAGACTTATTTTCGTACGGAAATCTCTGCCCAAGATAGGTAAGTCGGTGTACCGTGGACAGGTAGCTTTGTTTTTTAACAATTTTTTTAAATTAATATTCTAGGTTAGCCGTAACACTTCGGTTTCTTGCCACGGGAGATTCATATACTAGCCTTCAGTATCTATTCAGAATTTCCAAGCAGTCGATTGGGCGTGTAGTACCCCAAGTTTGTGCTGCACTAATTGAGGAATTGCAGGGATATATCAAGGTAAGAACATTAATATATAAATTAAAGGCCTGTGTGTAATTCAAAAATATATTTTTCTTCACTTTAAAGTAATTTCCACCACTAAGTTAACAAACAAAAAATAGACCTCAAAAACGTTACACAAAATCTTCATAATTTTCTGATGTGAGTGACGAAACAGGTGATTGTAGCGATGATGGGTTGGACAATGATGGTTCAGAAGTTGCAGGAACGGTTATTACTTGCAGATGTTGTGAATAATAAGTTTCAGAAGATTGAGAATATAGATTATGTGAAGTAGGTTGGGAATACATCGAAGAAGTAGGTTGTGAATTGATATGATTGGTAGCTTGTGACTGTATGTAGGAAGTAGGTTGAGAATCATTGTAAGATTGAATTGAAGTCGGATTAAGAAATCCTCCATCAGCTTTAATAATAAGGTCAAAACGGCATGTTGAATTGTCTGTTGTATTGGAGGGGCGTATTTTTGAACCTTTGCAGCAACAAAATTAAAAAATAAATCTATTTCACTGGGTTGAGTTGGCTCTTTGTCCATTTTTTTCGCAGCATTCTTCAAAATCTGAAATGCATCACTCATTATTGGAGAGGAAACATTATCTTGTTTTGTTTTTGATCGCTTTGTAGATTTGGAGGTAGATGGTAGCGTAGGTGTCTCTGGTATCGCCTCTTGTTCCATTTGTTCGGAAGATAGGGCAGCTTCGTTACCATCATCCAGCTCCTATTAAATACATTTTCAGTAACTTTATATGCAGTTTATAAATAATGAAATTTTGAAATGAAATTGTGTTAACATAGTATTAGCGATTCCTTTTTTTATTATTTGAGAAGGGTGGTTTTATCTTATTCCAAAATACACCAAAGAAGTTGCGCAAAAAATGATATTAAATAAATAAATTATTAAGATAAGCTAATAATGAATAAAACAGGTCAAAATTAATAATTGTTATTTCATTTCAGCTACCTAACACTCCCACAGCTTGGAAACAAGTTAGCAAGATATTTGAAACTCGTTGGAACCTTCCTCATTGTGTTGGTGCCCTATATGGAAAACACGTTGTTTTACAAGCACCAGTGAAATCGGGTACCGAATTCTTCAATTATAAATCCAATTTCAGTATTGTGCTTTTCGCACTGGTTGATGGTGATTATAACTTTATGTTTGCTGACGTAGGCTGCCAAGGAAGAATTTCTGATGGGGGGGTTTTTAAGGCAAGCAAATTATATCAGCAGCTTACAGAAAACAGACTAGGGCTTCCAACACCAGAAGAACTAGAAGAATGTTCTATGCAAATACCGTATTTTTTTGCCGGCGATAGCGCATTTGCCTTAAGCGAAAATCTCATGAAGCCCTATACTGGGGACTTTCCAAAAGGAACTCCTCAACGAATTTTCAATTATCGTTTGAGTAGGGGTCGTCGCATAGTTGAAAACGCATTCGGTATATCAAGTGCAGTGTTTAGGGTGTTAAGAAAACCAATGCACTTAGAGCCTGCAAAAGCAGAGTGGGTTATACTGACAGTCATTCTTTTGCATAATTATCTCAGAAAACACTCACCAAATATTTATACCCCTTTTGGCACATTAGACTATGAAGTTAATGGAAATTTAACTGAGGGATCATGGAGAAATCAAGGAGATATGACGTCTATGGTACCTATACGAAATATTCCTCGAAGACCCACAAACTATTGTACAAAAGTTAGAGATGAAATCGCTAATTATTTTATAAATAATGGAGCTCTAGAATGGCAGGACCAATATGCTTGAATTTATAACAATAATTACTTACCGTAGCAAGTCTTTTTCATGGCAAATCTCTGTCTTCTAAAAACCTAAACGCTTCATAGGCAAACCATCTGCTGCAATAA